CTCCTTCATTGGAGAGTGTTCTTGCACCAGATTACTTTTTTTAATCTGTTAGTGAACCGCTCCAGGCAGAGGGGCAGCCCTGGCCTGTATGGGTTAAGGACAAGGTTAAGCGTGTGGCTGCCAGAATTGGACCAGACAGCCTTTTACTCTGCAAGGTGCGAACTGAGCAACACAAACATCGTTATCAGCTGGGTCATCTGCAACACGATGCCAGCAGAGCAGGCAGCAGCAGTCATTTCTAAGCCTAACCCCACGTGCGAAGGCATCCGCCTTTATCCCCCACCCCCCCCGCCGCAAATGTTGGAGAGTTAGGGATTAAAGCTGAAGCAATCATAAAAGTAGGATCTGTTTCCCAAATGAGTCATGGGGCAGACAGATGGCCAAGTGGAACGTGGTGCCTTTACTGACCAACAGGCTCCAGCTACTGGCCGAGGAAACCTAAATAAGTAAAAAAAGGATCGCTCTGGAAAGAGAATTCCAGTAGACAGTCAACCCAACGTGCTCTCCGTGACAGTAAAGGTTACACAACGATAGTCCTGACAAGTTGTCCCTCCTATTCACTTTCCCCTGTCCTTTCAAGCAAGACTATCAATAAAAGGCAACGTGCATTTGTTTAGATGGGGAAGACATACTCACAGAGGCTGTTTAAATGGGAAGGGCAGCAGGAACTGTGCTCGCTGAGACAAGGCCTGGTGACACACCTGCCATCGAGCTCTTCAATTCTTGCAACGCCCTTTCCGAGTGTTTTCTTCATTTATTCATAAAGGCGCCCAGGCCACACAACAGCCTCTAGCCCAGCAGGTCCCGCTCGGCAGTACTTAGGCCTGAAGGGCTCTACGCTCTCCTCTCACCTGCTTCGCATCCAGCCTCATCTTCTTCCCGTGGGCCAGCTCCTCTCCGCCGTGGATGGACAGATACCGCCTCACCTTGTTGGCGTGCTTCTTGCTCTGGAGAAAGCAGAGAGAAACCCACCTGCCCTGCTGCTCAGCACCCCGCGGCGCCCGGCGGCGGCGGCCCCCCCCCCCCCCCCCCCCCCCCCCCCCCCCCCCCCCCTTCTTTTCCTCCCCCCCCCTCGG